CAGGCTGGAGTGGAGTGGTGCGATCTTGGTTCACTGCAACCTCTGCCTCCCGGGTTCAAGCAATTCTCATGCCTCAGCCTCCTAAGTAGCTGGGATTACAGGCACATGCTACCACACCTGGCTAATTTTTGTATTTTTAATAGAAACAGGGTTTCACCATATTGGCCAGGCTGGTCTCAAACTCCTGACCTCAAGTGATCCACCCACCTCGGTCTCCCAAAGTGCTGGGATTACAAGCATGAGTCACTATGACTAGTTCAGGGCGTGTTGCTTTTTGCCCCTCTCCCCAAGAAGTTTATGTTTCCCTGTTATAAGTGAGGCTGAGGATCCTCTGTACAAGAGAGGTCGTTTTACTTTCCTTTCCTATGAACTGTGTGTGCAGCCCCCACATGAGATTCCTGTGGTTGCTGCAGCCAATTCCCACAAACCAAGTGGCTATAAACAACTCCAACATCGGACCTGACAGTTCTGGGGCTAGAAGTCCAACAGGGGTCTCACCAGCTGGAACACATGTGCCCCAGGACTGCGTTGCTTCCTGGAGACTCTCAGTGAGAAGCCATCTCCTTGCCTTCAGCTTCAAATGCTGCCTAAGACCCTTATCTCACAGCTGCCTTCATCCCCAAAGCCAGTAGTGGCGGACATGGCTTTCCCCCATTGCCTCTCCATGCTCTGAGGCTCCTGCCTGACCTTGCACGTTTCGAGGCCCTTCTGATGACACTGGGGCCCCAGATCCTCAGGACACTCTCCCCATCTGAAAACCAGCAGTAGCATCCTCCATTCTACCTCGATTCCCCTTCACCAGGGGGTAGTGGCATTCACAAGGGAATCTCCCTGCCGCAGGTCCCTTCATTCTGTTTATTTGGGGTCTTTGGCCTTCCTCTTCTCTTTTTCCAAAAGGCCTGCAAATATCCAGGAAACTTGGTCTGTTTGTCATGTGACCTGCCAGATGTTTATTTCCAGTTGACAGCATCCCTTTACACTTTACCAATGGTGTTTGTTATTTTTGTTGCAGAAAATTTCAGTTCGTAAGTAGTGAAAGCAATCATCTTGGCTTTGCATCATGCTTAAGAAGCCTTCCCCGGCCGGGCGCGGTGGCTCAAGCCTGTAATCCCAGCACTTTGGGAGGCCGAGACGGGTGGATCACGAGGTCAGGAGATCGAGACCATCCTGGCTAACACGGTGAAACCCCATCTCTACTAAAAAATACAAAAAACTAGCCGGGCGAGGTGGCGGGCGCCTGTAGTCCCAGCTACTCAGGAGGCTGAGGCAGGAGAATGGCGTGAACCCGGGAGGTGGAGCTTGCAGTGAGCCGAGATCTGGCCACTGCACTCCATCCTGGGCGACAGAGCGAGACTCCGTCTCAAAAAAAAAAAAAAAAAAAAAAAAAAGAAGCCTTCCCCACTCCCAAACTAGAAAGGAATCCATCCAGATTTTCTTCCACTGTCTGGATGGCCACTCTGGATGTTTCCATCTTTATCCATTGCTGGCACCTAGTGAGGTATGAGGACTGGGGCCCGGCTTTCCCACACTCCCTAGATTCCCCACCCCCTGAATGACTTCTGGCAGCCCATGGGGGCACCATGGACCTTAATGGTGGAGGAGCCAGGGTGAGGTGACTTGGGATGAAGTCCTGTGACAGGGTCACAGGGTCGTACAGGAGGGAGCAGATTTCAGAGCATCAGGGCGGGAGCCCGGTGGGGGTCCTCTGAGGGGCAGATCCTGGTCCAGACACCTACAGAGTGCTGGGGTGGGGGTATCCCGGACAAGGGGTTGTGGCCAGCAGTACTTTCCCTGCTCCGTGCACCCTGGGCCTCCATTCTGCGAAGGCCTGTGGACGTGCTGGTGGCAGAACCACGCACCTCAGGAGAAGGCCTGCGGTCCTGTCAGGCATTGCCACAGCCTTGCCTGGAGAAGCAGAGCCTCCCACAGAGTCCAGCTGGTCGGCAGGGTTTCAAGGACGCTTTACACTTTTCCTAAATAAGCTGCATACTTACAGTGAAATCATCTCCTCCCTCCTAACACAGCCACCCCATACCCTAGTATTGGCTGCTGCACAGCTCTAGAATGAAGGATAATCTCCAGCACAGAAAATGCAAAGCCTCCCTTCCACGATACCTGGGCTGGTATCCCAAGCCCAGCAGGAGCAGCGCTGGGGGACTCTCTGGGACCTTGTATCCCAGAGCCTAGACCCGCGTGCAGCATGCCTGGCCCTCACTGTGAGGCCTACACTGGCCACTTCTGCTCTGAGAGCCTTCGTGTCTCCCCTGGCTCCTCCCACCAACCCAGGGGTAGAGGCTGGGGTCCCAAGGCCTCTGGGAGACAGAACTCAGAGGGGCAAAGTCCCTGCCCGGAGGCCACCAGCAGGTCCCTGCAAAGGGCAGAGAGGGCAGAATCTGGTATGGAGCCTGTACTCAGTGGGACAGGGCCATCGTGAGGGTCCAGGCCAGCCTGTCCGAGACCTCTACTCACTGCTCTAGTCTATCCAGGCCCTGGGTCTCCTGGCCGCCACTCCAGTGGCATCTTTGTGAGGATTAGATTATGGTGCCCTCCCCCCACGCCAGGTGTCCCAGCCCTCTGTCAAGGCCCATGATCCAGCCCTTGGTTGGTTTGGACATGGCACCTGCTAAGCCCAGGCCAGCAGCTCCATGAGCTCCATGGGATGGACTCCCTGCTGCCAGTGTCTGCCTTTTGGGTCTGAGGAATCTTTTTTTTTTTTTTTTCTTGAGACAGAGTCTCACTGTGTCGCCCAGGCAGGAGTGCAGTGGTGTGATCTCAGCTCACTGCAACCTCCACCTCCTGGGTTCAAGCAATTCTCCTGCCTCAGCCTCCTGAGTAGCTGGAAATACAGGTGTACCACCAACCCAGTTAATTTTTTTTTTTTTAAAGACAGAGTCTGGGTCTGTCGCTAGGCTGGAGTGCAATGGTGCTATCTCAGCTCACTGCAACCTTAGCCTCCTGAGTAGCTGGGACTATAGGCACATACCACCACACCCAGCTAATTTTTGTATTTTTAGTAGAGATGGGGTTTCACCATGTTGGCCAGGATGGTCTCAATGTCCTGACCTCATGATCCGCCCACCTCAGCCTCCCAAAGTGCTGGGATTACAGGTGTGAGCCACTGCGCCCAGCCCTAATTTTTGTGTTTTTAGTAGAGATAGGGTTTCACCATGTGATTCTAAGAACTCTGCAGCTTCAAAAAAAAAAAAAAAAAAAGAACTCTGCAGCTTCATTTTGTGCCTAGGGCCAGCACGGTGGAGGCCGTGGCCACACAGCATTCCCAGGCAGCTGAAACTTCTCTGTTGATGGAACAGCCCCGGGCACGTGGCTTGGCTTGTGGTGTGAGGGGTGGCCACTAGGTCCATTGTTGTGGTGTCACTGTTTACTTCTCCGCACCAAGAGGCTCCACCTGGGACCCCCCTACTAGGGGCTAGAGTCAGGGTTAGGTTAGGGAGGAGGTGGCTTCATCTGAGCTCGAGGGCATTGGCTGGCAGCTTCCTTTGCTTTTCTGTCACGATGTGGTCCCCAGTCCTTGGGATAAACTCACCTGGGTCCCTGAGGTTTCCCCCTCCTGCTGTCCCTGGCCTGCAAGGGGGCAGAGGAACCTCGTCCTGAGCTCTGAGAAGCCTGGCCTCAAACTTCCCAGAGCTTCCCTCCAGGTGCCCTTCCTAGGCTGCCCTGTGGTCACTACCCTCCCAGGTCCAAGTCTCATCTCCTCCAGAAAGCCTCCCAGAACTGCTGGCCCCAGACACAAAACTCCCAAGGGAAGGCTCTTCCACCAAAAGTCACGCCTGCAGCGATAATGATGAGTTTGGAGAGGACTGCAGACCCTGAGGCGGAGGTTGGTGCAGGGGCTGGACCTGAAACTGGGTTCACACAACAAGCTCAGATTCCTCTTAACATTCCTGGTTGGTGACATTGTGGGGTCTTGGATGCCCCCTCCTCTCTGTCCCTGGTACTGCCCCTGCCACCTGGGACTCCACCAAGTTCCTTCCCCACCAGCCACAAGGAAAGCCTGCCCAGCGGCCAGCACTCTGTCCCTTAGCCTCAGAACCAGGAGCATTCTCACTGCTTCGATGTCACAACAGGTAAAAAATACACAAAATAAAATAAAATATCATGATCACCTGAGAAGAAAGTTTGGCGTAGGCCCATATCACGTGTTTCCAGAGAAGCCACACCTTTGCTATGAAGCCATTCCTGGCATAGAGAAGGGTGGGGCCAGGAAACAGCTGCTATCCAGCCCCTCCAGGCTGACTCAAGCCAGAGTGTATGGGGGCCAGTGATGGAACAGAAGGAGCCTCCTGCCCAGGGCAAGCGTGGGGAAACCACCAGGGGCCCCAGGCGGGTGAGCTGCTCCAGCAGGGACAGCACAGGTGGTGCGTGGTCGGGGCTGAGCAGCTGGGTTAGTCGGCGAGGATGAGGAGTCTCTGGGGATGGAGACTGAGGCATGGGGTTCCCAGTTAAGGGCAGGCCTAAGTGCAGCAGGGAATTGTTTGGAGGGAGGAAATCAAGCTTTCCTTCTAGAAAGGGCCACAGGGACCAAAGGGAGAGGGCAGGAACAGCCCCTGGAAAGGGTGGGTAAGGAAGGTGAGGCTGGAGGGGACCCGGGAAGGGATCCTGGGGAGGCAGTGGCCAAGAGCAGGGTGAGGGCCAGTCCGCCTCTCCCTGCACCCAGCTCCCCCCGGGGTGGCCCTGGCCCTGCTCCGCTGTCCCCTGCAGGAGGGCAGGCGCCTCAGGCTTGTCCTGGCTTGTCCCACAACAGGTCCTCAGCACCCACAGGTCCTGCCTTGGGCTCTGTAGAAGCAGGGAGTGGTGAGGTCAGGACCCTGGGCCACAGAGGAAATGGGCTGGGGACAAGAATGGGGGTTGGGAGACTGACAGCTGTTTTCTGAGGGCCCGGGGAGTGGAGGAGAGGGGTACGGGGCCAAGACTTGGGGCTCAGTATGGGGGCAGCTGCAGGGGCTAAGGGGGACAGCGGGGGCAGTGAAGAGGGCCTAGGGTCTGGTAGTTGCAGCAGGCACTCACAGAGGACAGACTGTTTGCAAGGTAGGTCAGGTGACAGGGAGTCAGGAGGGCTGAGAAGGCTCAGGGCCTGACTCCAGAGAGAGGGGTTGCCATCCCCCAGGTCCAGAGGGGCCCTGGGAGGAGTCCAGGCAGGGCTGATGCTGGAAGGAGTAAGACAAGCTGGCACTCAAGGACTGCAGCCACTGGCCACGTCGGGCCAGGTGGGACTGGCTGCCTTCCCTGGTCTCAGCCCCAGCCTTCTGTGGCTGCCTCCCGCATTGGAGCCATCAGAGAGCAAGATGTGGGAGGGGCAGGTGAAGGACAGCCTCTGTGATGGCCCCTGATGTGCTGCAGCCTAGGGTGAGGGGCCTTGGGGATGGGAAGGTGGACTGGGAAGGGCTGGAAGCTGGGAGATGATGGCCCCCAGCACTTGGTCCTGAGGGGCCTTGGAGCAGCTTCCCCGAGGCCTGCAGAGGCAACTTCTGATGCTTGAGGAGCTGAGGCCAAGGGGAGGCTCCCCAGACACAAGGAGAAGGGGCTGGGGGCAGCCAGAAGGCTTTGGGCTACCCTCCCTGGAGGCTCAGGTCCCAGGTGACCCCTCCAGCTGTGTTCCTTGCAAGATCGGGACCTGCCAAGATTGCAGATGTGAGGAAAGGAAAATGCCTTGGGCTTTCTTCCCAGTGTGGCTGAGCTGTCCCTGTAAGGACATGCAGACACTCAGAGGACCTGTCCTCAGGGGCCTTAGGGTGAAGGTCAAGATCTCACCGTACAACCAGCTGGGCCCTGACTACTTCCAGCCACCAGGCCCCTGGGACAGGAGCAGGACAGTGGTTATTTCCCCAGTGGGCAGGGGGCTCCAGGTTACATAAGAACAACATGCCCTGTGAGAAGGCGTGGGGATGAAAATGCTTCCCCCTGGGCTGAGATTCCAGGACACCTGAGATGGGGGGACCCCGGCCACATGCTTAGAGCTCTCAGGGAACCTGGAGGGCCCCTCAGCCTCTGTTCCCCTGCTGGGGAGAACAGAGGCCTGGTGGGAGCAATTTCAGGGAACTCAGAGAAACACTGTTCCCCAGACCCTGGAGGTCCCTTTGTGCCTGGCTTTCATTGTGAGGCCCCCACCAGCTAGCTAGTCCTGCTCTGGGAGCCTCCACGTGTACCCCTGGCTCCTCAGGCCAGCCTAGGGTTGGAGGGTGCGGTCCCCATGGCCTGTAGGAAGTAGGGCTCAGAGAGGCAAAGTCACCACCCTGAGGTCACCAGGAGGTCCCAGCAGAGGGGGTTGGGACCTGGCTCAGGGCCTGTTCTCCCTGCTGAGCTCAGTGGGATGAGGCCACCTGAAGGGTCCCACTGTTTTTCTCTGGTCTCTGCCCCAGCATGTGGTGGGACCTTGATTTCCATACTCTCATGTCCCCAGTCTGGGGGGAGGCAGAGGTCGTGGGGTCACCGACATCACCTGGCTCATTCTTCCCCTATCCAGGCTGTCCCATGAGCATATCTAATTTGTGTGTCATCGGAGTCAATAATGTGTTTTGCTGTCGCTCTTGTTCCAGGGATATTGCTCAGCCAAAGAGCCAGCATCCCACTGAAGAAGATCAGAAAGAGGCTTCTGGTCAGCAGGAGGCTCCTGGGGAAGGCCTGGGCTGGGAGTGGGACACGGGTAGGGCTGGGTGGAAGAGTACCAGGCTGGGTCCCCAGTTACAGGCCTGGAGCTGTTACGGGACCCAACAGGCCCCCCAGCCTCCATCCCCGTGCTGGGTTCTCAGGTTTAGTGGGGGCAATGCCTGGGCACTCAGAGGGAACCTGACCCCAGAGCCTGGTGACCCCTCTACGGCATGCCTGGCGCTCACCGTGAGGCCTGCACCAGCCAGTCCTGCTCTGAGAGCCTCCTCGTGTCCCCCGGCTCCCCTGCCAACCTGGGGGTGGAGGGTGGGGTCCCCATGGCCCGTGGGAGGGAGGGCCCAGAGGGGCAAAGTCACCACCCTGAGGTCACCAGGAGATCCCTGCAGAGGGCAGAGTGAGTTGGAGCCTGCCTCAGGGTCTGTTCCCCTTGAGCTCGGTGGGACAGGGCCATCTCGAGGGTCCCAGTGTTTTTTTCTGGTCGCTGCCCCAGAGTCTAATGGGACACAGCCCCTCACATTCCCAGTCTGTGGGGGACAGAGGTCATGGGTCGCTGACATCCCTTGGCTCATTCCTCCCCCATTTACCCGACAGACCCCTTATCCTCCATCCCCCTGCTGGGTTTGGAGACTGGCTCAGGGCCTGTTCTCCCCTACTGAGTTTGGTGGGATGGGGCCATCTTGAGGGTCTGGGTGTTTTTCTCAGGTGGGACCTGGATCCCCACAGTCCCTCACGTGCCCAATTTGTGGGGTGGGCGTGGGGTCACCAAGGTCACTTGGCTCATTCTTCCCCCATCCAGATTCTGTCTCCAGAGCCTTTGAGGTCACTCCTGACGCTGACATGGCTGTGAAGAGCTGGGTGACAGGCATTACTGCCTCCAAGGTTGCTTTGAGAGGAATAGGTGGGGCATCAGGAAGAAGCCAGCTGCAGGTCAGAAGGCAGCACTGCCTCCCCGGGGGAGCCCCGGGGGAGGGTCTGTCTGGGGGTCCCTAGGGCGGTGCAGGGCGGGAGAGTCAGAGGGAGGCCCAGGATGGGTGTGGGAGGCTGGGGTCAAAGCTGGGGCTGGAGCTCGGCTCTCTTAAGACCCTGAGCCCCCCTCCCTCCTTTCCTTGCCTTTTGTCGCCCTCCTTCGGGCAAGGCCTCTGCTGATGCTGCTTTTTTTCTCCTGAAGCCATCCATGGGAGGGAGCTGTGAGATGGCCTGGCAGGACCGGCTCTCACACCCCACAGAATGGGAGGCTCACCCTGCACAGGAACATCCTGGGGCAGCAGGCTCAGCACATTTTAAATTTTGAGTATGAACAAAGTAAACTTCAGGGTAAAAAAAAAAACAAAAATTCGCTGAGCACACAATGACTGAGTGTCTGTGGTATACCTGACGCTTTGCCAGAACCAGGCTTCAAACCTCAGGGTTCTGGGTCCTTGGAGGCCCAGCTCCGACCCCACCTCACCCAAGCACCCTCCACCCCCATCATGTACCCCTCACCAGGGCTGCCCAGCTTGGGCCATCTCAGACCACTTGGACTTCCTCCCGAGACCTGCAGGCCGTCAGACCTCACACCCTGAGCCCCTCAACCTGGAAACCAGCCACCGGCCTGTACACTATGGGGGCCCCTGAGGTTTCCACCTCCTGCTACCCTTGGCCTGAAAAGGTCAGTGGGACCCTGCCCTGGGCCTCTGGGAGGCTGTACCCTTGCTTCTGCCTCATCCTGTTCTCCAGGGCCCTGTCCCTTTCTTGTTGGGCCCTCCCAGAATGCACCCCCAGTCACTGCCCTCACTGGCCTAAGTCACCTCCTCCAGGAAGCCTTCCAGACTGATGGCTCCCAGGCACTGAGCATCCCCCAACCTTGCTGAGAATAGTGGACGCCCACCATGGGCTCTTGGAAGCTGGAGAAGCCTGGGTCTCCCTGCAGGGGCCGACACACAGTTTTCCAACCACTGCAGTTCCACCCAGGTCAATCCCTTTCTTGCTTGTGTTTCCCAAGAATAACTGTGGAACATGCTGGAAATGCAACATCCTGAGACAGGGAGAACAGCCTGAAGCAGCCAGGGCCTAGTTCCTGTTGCTCCAAGAGAAGGGAACATCATGAGTTAGAGAGTGGTCCCCGAAGAAGAAAGCAAGGCAAAAATCCCTGTAAGTAGAGCTCACCTGGGCCAAGGTGAAGACAACCACTGGGGAGACTCAGAATTGGAATATGAGCTCCGTTCAGCCTTTGTAACTGGCTTTTCTTTGAGACGGAGTCTCCCTCTGTCTCCCAGGCTGGAGTACAATGGTGGGATCTGGGCTCACTGCAACCTCCACCTCCCAGGTTCAAGCGATTCTCCTGTCTCAGCCTCCTGAGTAGCTGGGATTACAGGCTCCCACCACCATGCCTGGCTAATTTTTTTGTATTTTTAGTAGAGACAGGGTTTCACCATGTTGGCCAGGCTGGTCTGGAATTCCTGACTTCAAGTAATCTGCCCGCCTCAGCCTCCCAAGGTGCTAGGATTACAGGCGTGAGCCACCATGCCTGGCTACAAGCAGCTTTTAAAGGCAAGCGGGCCAGGTGCAGTGGCTCATATCTGTAGTCTCAGCATTTTGGGAGGCTGAAGCAGGTGTATCATCTGAGCTCAGGAGTTTGAGACCAGCCTGGCCAACATAGTGAAACCCCATGTCTACCAAAAATACAAAAAATTAGCTAGGCATGGTGGTGCATGCCTGTAGACCCAGCTACTCAGGAGGATGAGGCAGGAGGATCACTTGGTCCTGGGAGGCGGAGCTTGCAGTGAGCCAAGATCACACCGCTGCACTCCAGCCTGGGCAACAGAGCAAGACTCCGTCTCAAAAAAAAAAAAGTTTATTTGAAAAAATTAATGCCGGGCGCGGTGGCTCAAGCCTGTAATCCCAGCACTTTGGGAGGCCGAGACGGGCGGATCACGAGGTCAGGAGATCGAGACCATCCTGGCTAACACGGTGAAACCCCGTCTCTACTAAAAACACAAAAAACTAGCCGGGCGAGGTGGCGGGCGCCTGTGGTCCCCGCTACTCGGGAGGCTGAGGCAGGAGAATGGCGTAAACCCGGGAGGCGGAGCTTGCAGTGAGCTGAGATCCGGCCACTGTACTCCAGCCCGGGCGACAGAGCAAGACTCCGTCTCAAAAAAAAAAAAAAAAGAAAAAAGAAAAAATTAAAAAAATAAAAAAGTTTATTTGAGGCCAGGTGTAGTGGCTCGGACCTGTAATCCTAGCACTTTGGAAGGCTGAGGTGGAAGGATCACTTGAGCTTCAGAGTTTGGGATCAGCCTGGGCAACGTAGTGAGACCTCAACTCTATTTATTAAAAATTTTAAAGAAAGAAAAAAAGTTTATTTGAGCACTTATTCCTCAGTGAACCTTCCTATCACAAGACTGTGGGTGACTAGCACTCCCAGGGAGAGCCAGGGGGACAGTTATCAAGCATTTGCAGAAGCAAACCCAGGAAAACAACTCGACAGTTAGAGTGGAAAGTCTCTCATTAGGGCTGGGAGTTTCAGGCTGGCGCCATTTCTAGATTAACTGTGAGGTTCCCGTAGGGCAAGGTTTCTTCATGGAGAAATTGAAGGACCAGAGCCACCCCAGCCCAATGGCTTCCCAAAGAGAATTTTTACAAACAACGTTGTCCTTCCAGTCAGCCTATCCGTGATGAGAGACTGGCCAAAACATAGGCATGAGCGCCACTCTGTCACCATCATGGGTGGGTGGTAGTTGTCTCATTCAGGGACTTGAGGTCACAGCGTGAGGCTCTTTGAGGAGAGATTTCTTTTGTTGTTCATCTCATTGTGGGTTCTTCTTTTTTTGAGACGGAATTTTGCTCTTGTTGCCCAGGCTGGAGTGCAATGGCACGATCTCAGCTTACCGCAACCTCCGCCTCCAGGGTTCAAGTGATTCTCCTGCCTCAGCCTCCTGAGTAGCTGGGATTACAGGCATGTGCCACCATGACCAGCTAATTTTTGTATTTTTAGTAGAGACGGGGTTTCACCATGTTGGTCAGGCTGGTCTCGAACTCCTCGCCTCATGATCTGCCCACCTCAGCCTCCCAAAGTGCTGTGATTACAGGCGTGAGCCACCATGCCCGGACTCATTGTGGTTCTAATCACACGCAATTTTGGCTCACTGCAACCTCCGCCTCCTGGGTTCCAACAATTCTCCTGTCCCAGACTCCTGAGTAGCTGGGATTACAGGCACTCGCCACCACACTTGGCTACTAGTTTCTGTATTTTTGGTAGAGATGGGGTTTCTCTGTGTTGGCCAGAATGGTCTTGAACTCCTGACCTCAGGTGACCCGCCCCCCCTTGGCCTCCCAGAGTCCTGGGATTACAGGCGTGAGTCACTACACCCAGCCAAGAAACAACTTTTGAATGTAGATGTTATCAACTGCTTTTAGAAAAGGATCCAAACATGGCCAGGTGTGGTAATCTCAGCACTTTGGGAGGCTGAGGTGGGTGCATCACACGAAGTCAGAGAGTTCGAGACCAGCCTGGCCAACATGGCAAAACCCTATCTCTACTAAAAATACAAAAATTAGCCTGGTGTGGTGCGGTGCACACCTGTAATCCCAGCTGTTTAAGAGGCTGAGGCATGAGAATCTCTTAAACTCGGGAGGCGGAAATTGCAGTGAGTCGAGATTGCACCACTGCACTCCATCTAGCCTGGGGTGAGAGAGTGAGATTTTGCCTCAAAAAATAAATAAATAGGGCTGGCATGGTGGCTCACACCTGTAATCCCAGCACTTTGGGAGGCTGAGGCGGTAGATCTTGAGGTCAGGAATTCAAGACCAGCCTGGTCAAGATGGTGAAACCCTGTCTCTAATAAAAATACAAAAATTAGCCAGGCGTGGTGGTGTATGCCTGTAATCCCAGTTACTCAGGAGGCTGAGGCAGAGAATTGCTTGAACCCGGGAAACAGGGGTTGCAGTGAGCAGACACTGAGTGGGGTTGCCACTGCACTGCAGCCTGGGCAACAGAGTGAGACTCCATCTCATAAATAAATAAATAAATAAATAAATAAATAAATGGGAGAAAACCAACTTCTAGTTTTACACCAATGTACTTTTGACATTAGGGCTCTTCTATAAAACCATTATAATAGATTCATTCAGTTCTAGCCAGTTTGACAAAACATGAAGTTCTTCATTTAAATTTACTCTTTCGTGACCTTCTACAATTTTTTTTTTTTTTTTTTTTCAGATGGAGTCTTGCTCTGTTGCTCAGGCTAGAGTGCAGTGGCTCAATCTCGGCTCACCGCAACTTACGCCTCCTGGCTTCAAGCAATTCTTCTGCCTCAGCCTCCCAAGTAGCTGGGATTACAGGCATCTGCCACCACGCCCAGCTAATTTTTGTATTTTTAGTAGAAACGGGGTTTCACTATGTTAGCCAGGCTGGTCTCAAACTCCTGACCTCCTTATGTGCCCGCCTTGGCCTCCCAAAGTGCTGGGATTACAGGCGTGAGCCACTGCACCCAGACATTTTTTTTTTTTTTTTTAAATTAAGAGACAGGGTCTCATTCTGCCACCCGGACTGGATTACAGTGCTGCAGTCATAGCTCGCTACATTATGGTACGGAACTCCTAGGCTCAAGCAACTCTCCCACTTTAGCCTGTAGAGTAGCTGAGACTATAGGTGCATGCCACCACACCTGGCTGTTTTTTCATTTTTTAATTTTTGTAGAGACAGGGTCTCACTATTTTGCCCAGGCTGGTCTCAAACTCCTGGCTTCAAATGATACTCCCACCTCTGCCCCGCAAAGTGCTGGGATTATAGACATGAGTCACCATGGTCAGCCAACTTTCTCATATCCATTTAATTTGTCTTATACTTTTTCCTCTTTCCTCATGTGGAATAGTCACTCTATGTTAGGACAAAAATGATTATCCTTCTTTAATCAAAATTCATCGATATAACTTCCCTTATAAAACATGCCTTCCCTTGCATACAGAGTTGCTTTCTCTATTATTTCTCTGTGTGTGTATATGTATGTATATATGTGTATATATGTATGTATGTATATAGACATGCATGTATATATACACGTGTGTATATATATGCGTGTGTGTATATATATGTGTGTGTGTGTGTGTATATATATATATTTTTTTTTTTGGAGATGGAGTTTTGCTCTTGTCCAGGCTGGAGTGCAGTGGTGCCATCTCGGCTCACCACAACCTCTGCCTCCCAGGTTTAAGAGATTCTCCTGCCTCGGCCTCCTAAGTAGCTGGGATTACATGCATGTGCCACCATGCCCGGCTAATTTTGTACTTTTAGTAGAAACGAGGTTTCTCCATGTTGATCAGGCTGGTCTTGAACTCCTGATGTCAGGTGATCCGGCCCGCCTCATCCTCCCAGAGTGCTGGGATTACAGGCATGAGTTTAATAAACATCTAATAATCCTGGCTTATTTCTAGATGTTTTAATTACATATATTGATTAGAATTTTTTTACTCTTACTAACCTTAATTTCTTTTCTTTTTTATTTTTTTGAAATAGAGTCTCACTCTGTTGCCAGGGTGGAGTGCCGTGGCATGATCTCAGCTCACTGCAACCTCCGCCTCCCAGGTTCAAGCGATTCTCCTGCCTCAGCCTCCCAAGTAGCTAGGACTACAGGCACGCACCACCATGCCCAGCTAATTTTTGTGTTTTTAGTAAAGACATGGTTTCACCATGTTGGCCAGGATGGTCTTGATCTCTTGACCTCATGACCCACCTTCCTTAGCCTCCCAAAGTGCTGGGATTACAGGTGTGAGCCACCACACCTGGCCTGTAACCTTAATTTCCAGTGAAAACCAGTAAGCATTGTGAAGTGTTTTTTGTTTGCTTGTTTGGTTGGTTGGTTGGTTTTCTTTTGAGACAGTCTTTTTTTTTTTTTTTTTTTTTTTTGTAGACAGAGTCTCACTGTCACCCAGACTGGAGTGCAGTGACAAGATCTCAGCTCACCGCACCTGCGCCTCCCGGGTGCAAGCAATTCTCCTGCCTTAGCTTCCCCAGTAACTGGGATTACAGGTGCGTGCCACCATGCCTGACTAATTTTTGTATTTTTGGTAGAGATGGGGTTTCACCATGTTAGCCAGGCTGGTCTTGAACTCCTGACCTTGTGATTCACCCACCTGGATCTCCCAAAGTACTGGGATTACAGGCATGAGCCACTGTACCTGGCCATGAAGTGTTTTATGTTAGCTTTTTGCAGATGAACTCCAACTCATAATAGAATTTTTCATCTCTTTAATTACCAGGGCCAAATATATTTAGCTTTGCTAAACTCTATAAAAATAAGACACCAGAGTATAT